TTGATTGATCAGCTTCATGTGAATTGGAGCTTTCTGCAAATATTTCTCGGGTGTCTGGTGTGCGGTGCTTTGTTGTTGATATACATGATGGACGGAGGCATTTTCTTGCCCTGCAGAACAAACCATGTTTCTTGGCAGGTGATATGCCTTGGAGAGATGTTTTTGAAGAAGATAGACTTATATCTTCAAACGCCTTGGCAGATACATCAGTATGTGAAACACTTTCTACAGATGAATTACAACTGTCTTTATCTGTACTCTGTGTAAATTCGGCACATGAATTTCCACTCTCTGAAAATTGGTCAGAAGAATAAATACTCTCTTCCAACAGGTGTTCAGTCTCTACTGATACATGTGATAAATGTAGGTCCATGTCTTTCATACTTTTCACAAGTAAGTTTCCAAGTGTATTCATAGCTATCATATCTTCTGCAAATGCAGTTTTCTGACTATCTGAATCAGGTCTTGTCATGTCTGCTGTAAGTGTGGTATTCTCACTGGCTGCACCAGCACTTTGAGCCTCCATATCTACTGCAAATGGGGATTTCTCACTGGCTGCACCAGCACTTTGAGCTGCCATATCTACTGTAAGTGGAGATTTCCCAATGTCTGCACCAGCACTTTGAGCTGCCATATCTACTGCAAGTGGGGATTTCTCATTGACTGCACCAGCACTTTGAGCTGCCATATCAACTGCAAGTGGGGATTTCGCACTGGCTACACCAGCACTTTGAGCTGCCATATCTACTGCAAGTGGGGTATTCCCAATGTCTGCACTAGCACGTTGAGCTGCCACATCTACTGCAAGTGGAGATTTCTCACTGTCTGCACCAGCACTTTGAGCTGCCATATCTACTGCAAGTGGGGATTTCTCATTGACTGCACCAGCACTTTGAGCTGCCATATCTACTGCAAGTGGAGATTTCCCAATGTCTGCACCAGCACTTTGAGCTGCCATATCTACTGCAAGTGGGGATTTCTCATTGACTGCACCAGCACTTTGAGCTGCCATATCAACTGCAAGTGGGGATTTCGCACTGGCTACACCAGCACTTTGAGCTGCCATATCTACTGCAAGTGGGGTATTCCCAATGTCTGCACTAGCACGTTGAGCTGCCACATCTACTGCAAGTGGAGATTTCTCACTGTCTGCACCAGCACTTTGAGCTGCCATATCTACTGCAAGTGGGGCCATCTCACCGCCTACACCAGCATTTTGAGCTGCCATATCTACTGCAAGTGGGGATTCCCCACTATCTGCACTAGCACTTTGAGCTGCCATATCTACTGCAAGTGGAGATTTCTCATTGACTGCACCAGCACTTTGAGCTGCCATATCTACTGCAAGTGGGGTATTCCCAATGTCTGCACTAGCACGTTGAGCTGCCATATCTACTGCAAGTGGAGATTTCCCAATGTCTGCACTAGCACGTTGAGCTGCCACATCTACTGCAAGTGGAGATTTCTCACTGTCTGCACCAGCACTCTGAGCTGCCATATCTACTGCAAGTGGGGATTTCTCATTGACTGCACCAGCACTTTGAGCTGCCATATCTACTGCAAGTGGGGTATTCCCAATGTCTGCACTAGCACGTTGAGCTGCCATATCTACTGCAAGTGGAGATTTCCCACTGTCTGCACCAGCACTCTGAGCTGCCATATCTACTGCAAGTGGGGATTTCTCATTGACTGCACCAGCACTTTGAGCTGCCATATCTACTGCAAGTGGGATATTCCCACTGTCTGTACCAGCACTTTGAGCTTCCATATCTACTGCAAGTGGGGTATTCCTTCTGTCTGCAGCAGCAGCACTTTGAGCTGCAATTTCCTCTGCGTATTGATTTCTAACTA